AGCTGGGACTACAGGCGCCCGCCACAACGCCTAGCCATTTTTTTTTTGGTTGCAGCCATCATTATTGTTTAGCAGGCCCAGGCTGGGGATTCGAACCCACCACCTTAGGTGTATGTGGCTGGCGCCTTAGCCGCTTGAGCCACAGGTGCCGAACCTAACTAGATTATTTTTGCTGTTGTCTCTCCTTCTCTTCTTCCCTCCTCCTCCTGTCCCTCTCTCCTCTCTTTCTCCCCCAGGCTACAGTGCTGTGATGACAGCTTAGCTCACGGCAACCTCAAACTCCTGGGTTTGAGCTATCCTCCTGCCTCAGCCTCCTGAGTAGCTGGGACTGCAGGAAACTGCCACCACACCCAGTTAGTTTTTTCTATTTTTTAATAAGAGATGGGGTCTTGATCTTGCTCAAGCTGGACTTGAACTCCTGAGCTCAGGAGATCCTCCAGCTTCAACTTTCCAGAGTGCTAGGATAATAGGCACGAGCCACTGTACCCAGTCTGCTGTTGTTTTTTATGCTGGAAAGTTTCTCTCTGTAAATGCTACAGCCTATTTAGAATTAGCTGCATTTTCAGAATTTCTCCTCTTAGGGGAGCATTTTATTTGGAAAGGGTAGATTAGCTGAATCTGCCTAGTACTTTAGATTGAGAAAGTGTCAAATGACCATATTTGAGTTGGGGGAGTAAAAATGGTGAGGTTGTTGGAAATGGTACCACCCCTTGGTGCTACTACCACAGTTTGAAATGCAAGTCCTGAAAAAGGAGAGGAAAAATCCCAGTGAAATCCAACTTGCATGGCCTGGTATTATCCTAATACCATGAGCTCAAATGTCTTGACCCAGCACCCCCAGCAAGGTCAGCTCAGAAACAACTGGGCTTTGGCAACATGTCTTGCCTGCCTGGGAATGACTAAGGCCTGTTTAAACCTCATGGTTGGTTAATCATTAATGAAGATTTTTGACAAACAAAGTGGAACAAGTCAAGAAATGAGGGTGGCTAAAAATTAGCTTAGCAAAGGTCATATCAAACCCAACTGACTATTTCTTGCACATGCAGGGTTTGGTGCTGAGGTCTTTGTGAGTATGGTGTGAGGAATGGAGTCCTGCTGGGGAAGCCAATGCTTGGAGATTTTACTTGGGATCCTCCACCACCCTCAGTCATCTGGAGAACTACAGGCCCTCATCACCAACTGCTGAAAAGGCAGTATTCTGTCCTGAGTGTGGTCTCCCTAGGGACAGTGGGGACACCCTGTGAGACACCCCAGAGAGAAAAGTGTAGAAGGTCCCAGACGCTGGATCCTGGACCAGAAGGAAGGGGTGGGCAACCCTAGTCTCCAGGGCGAGATTGGTGTTGGCAGGCATCCCCTGGGGCCGGGAAGGCAGCAGGGAGGCAGCTCTCCGCTAGGGGGAGCTCTCAGACGCACAATAACCGCCGGCTTCAGCAGTGTGGATAAACTCCGGGCTCCATTAAATGATTTAGGGTTCTCCCCACTTGATTATTTGCTCCCAGCTTCCTTGTTGTAGAGACTAAGCCTTTTTCTTCCACAGATAATTCAGGGCCATGAACCATGTTTACTGCTGAAAGGAGCGATGGCTAGCATTACCTTATGCCTGGATGTTTCCAGAAGGCAGAGGGTCAATTTTGTTGACCACTGTTCACCACTGCCTCCCATTATACTAGTACATAGTTGGCCCTCAAAAATGTTTATTGAATAAATGGGTGAATAGAAGAATTAAAAGGCTTAAATGGAAAGGCTTGATAAAATTAACATGGATGGATGCATTCACACTAGTT